CTTCTCAAATTTACATATTTGACTTATGCTATATAAGTTCTGTCTTAGTTTTATAGTACAGCAGGATGATGGAAAAATGTACACAAGGAAAAAAATGTGTTTATCTGGTTACCTAGCAACACTGAAAAAATGCCAGCTATTACTATAATACTTTTCTTTATGCATTCCACTTTATGGCTTATGGTAGGCTTTTGATCTGTATTCATTTCTTTTTATTTTTAAATAAGGGTTTGAATTTAATCCATTTCTAGCTTTATTTGCTTCCCAAAATCTTGTTTTTCTTTTTGTATTTTCAATACATCCCAACTGAAGTTTCCCTTCCCTCTATCCTTCCTATTTCCCATCCACATCCCCTCTCCCCCAGATTCACCACTCTTCCCCCGTTGGAAAAGAGCAGGCCTCACAGGATATCCACCAAACATGGCTTAATAAGATACAAGACTGGGTACAAATCCCCACATTAAGACTGGATGAGGCAACCCAGCAGGAGGAAAAGGGTCCCAAGAGCAGACAAAAGAGCCAGAGACAACTCCACTCCCACTGCCAGAGGTGTGGCAGTTAGCAACCATACCATATATGCAGAGGACCTAGCACATGCAGCCTCCATGATTGGTGTTTCCGTCTCTGTGGGCCCCTGTGAGTTCTACCCAGTTGAAATCTGTGGGCCTGCTCTCCTGGTATCTTTGGCCCCTTCTGGCTCCCACATGTCTTCCTCCCCCTCTTTCATGAGGTTCTCTGAGCTCCAAGGGGAGGAACCCAATGGAGATCTCCAGTTTGGGCTCTGTCTCTGTCTAATGCTTGGCTGTGGGTCTCTGTATTTTCTCCCATCAAGTTTGAGGGAAGGGACTCAATGAAGTTCTTTTGGACTCTGTTTTGCTTTTCTGTGACTATGTATTTCTTCCTCATCTGGTTTGCTGGATTCTTAGTTTCCTAGGAGGAGGGATCAGATCTCTCCATCCATACCTTACTCTTAAGTCCCCAGAGCTGAACCTAATACTTGGCATTGGAAACACAGCAAATGTTTGTTGACCAGGCAACACTAAACTGATGACTATAGTACTCAGACTACATGCCCAGTTAGCTTGCTCTCTGGTTTCTTAACTGTGCATGCATGTCCATTACTTCTAGAGATTAGAGAAAGATGGCTGGATGCCCATGTGGCATGATCAGATGGTTTGTTTGTTTGTTTAGTTTAGTTTAGTAAAAGTCTTTTCCCATAGTAACTAAAACTTGTCACACCTATTGGAAGAAGTCAGAAAGACATTTAGGAAGCAGTTGTTGTATTGTTACTCATCAGCACATGAACTGTCACCTTGGGATTCTAGAGGCCCAGGGTCAGGGCATGTTCCTTTAGGCAAAAGAGGCAGAAGGCCAGAGTCCAAAATATAAAATGAAATAAAATTAAACAGAAGATTCTTCTGTAGCAGTAAGCCTCACTTCTCTGAACATCTTGGTTCATCCCACCTCTTACCTTCACAATAAGAACATTTGTCCTGTCATGTAAGGATATATTCGTTCATTCAGATTTAGATTTTTGCTCATTAACTACCCCATACAAAGCACTGAGCCTGATGGAGAGACCAGGAGGGAGCCAGGCTTGTCCTATACCTCAGTGAGCTCCTGCTTCTAGGACCTGGAACAAGAGGATATGAAAGCAATTCTTTCCTAAGATTTTTTTTAAATAGAAATTTACACATACAGAAAAGTGGACACATTTTTTCAGTGAACACTCAGATCCCACAGTTACCCGTTGCTTTCTTGCTATATGTATCCAAGCATCCGTACCTATGCACATCCTGCACTTTCTGAGTAGGCTCGACATAACATCTGTGAAGCAGTCTGAAAGTTAAAAACCTTTTAAAGATACTGAATAAATTCTGCTTAAGATGTTGATCTTGTTTGACTACAGACATGATCAACACTTGCCTATGGCTTCATTCACTATGGACTGCTTTCTCATTTAGTTCCTATGAACATCCAATGAGGAAAATGTTAGTACTGTTTCTGAAGATAAAGATGCTATAGATGAAAGAATTAGATAGGTAAATAGTTGTGATCTGTTACCTTGCTAATACTGGAATGCAGACTTGTATTTTCTATTAATATTTTTCAAGCCTTCCCAGCACCCCCCATGCCACCCTCATCCCCCATGCTAGAAATTTGACCTATGACTTTGCTTATGCTAAGCACCACTGTCTGCCTAGCCTGGGCTTCTGAATGTAAGACTTGGATTTAAACAAGAGACACAAGGGCCAATTTGTCCAGCTCTAGCTTTAATCAGTCAAGGTACTTCTGTGTATTCTACAGATGAGAGGATTAGAGAGCCACTTCTCATTACGTGAGCATTTTGGTTTCCCATGCAACACATCTGTCTGATGTAAATTTTTAAGGTAAATAGAAACTATTTAAACTATTTAAACAAAAAGCTATTGAAGTTTCCAAATTTTAGATCCTAAGTTTGACTCACATCTAGAGACTCATACTTGAGAGTAAGGTCTTAAGTTTCCTTGTACTGTATAAATTCCAGCCAAGAAACTCTTTTATGAGTCCCAGGACAATGTAAAAACCTCTTAGAAACCCCATCTCTTCTCCTTTGCGCTCTTCCCAAATTTGTGTAAACAGAAAGAACAAGTGAATAGCTCAGTTAGTCCTTTGCCTCTTCTCAGTCCCCAGGGCCCTGCATCTGTGATCTCACTTAAATCTTGTCTTTGGGCATTGAACTGTGGCTGCTTTGCTGGTTGAATCACAAGAGTGATCAGGGCCTCCTGTGAAATATACTGTTACCTTGCTGCCTATAGGGGCGATGACTTGGGTAGAGCCTGTAAAGGAAAGTCTGATCTCAGTGGGAAATACTGTCGAACCCATAGCCACATCCCCAAAAAGAGCTGCTTCAATGTGGCTTCTGGGCTTTGTAGTCTCAATGGTTGGTGTTTTCAGACTCAATGTCATTATAAAGCTTCCTGAGTCAGGGCTCCACTGTACTACCTGGCCTGTTTCTTATTATGGCAGTGCCAAGGGGTCTAAACTGTATGATGGATAGTTTTTCCCCTAGTAATGATATGTTGAAGAGTATGGAAACTTATCCAAGTTAAAGCAAAGAAAGCCATTAGAAGATTGTCTCTCTCTCTCTCTCTCTTTTTTTTTACCAAACAATTATGTATATGTCCATAATGTTCACAATTTTATTAATAAAATAACTATTATTATTATTTTAAATTTTACTTAACCACTGATGAGTGAAATATTTTTCTTCATGGACTAGCACCATGATTTTGGAATTTGAGAACAGCTGGTGCATATGACCTCTGGAGTCCTTCAGCGTTGGCATTTTGTGAACTCCAGAGAGATGTGGGAAAAGTTAGGGACCATCAGAGAGACGCCTCTTGCAGTTGTTTTGGTATGCAGCCGTGTGGTCTGGCCTTGACTGGGGGTCAGAGACATGCCCAGGTACCTTAGAGAGGGTGAAGCACCATGTAAGTATTTCTCAAGCACCTCCCCTGCTCTGGGAAACAGCAGCTGGGTGGTGGTTTTAGGAGGTGGGGCTCGGGTTCATGGCCAGGGTTTCTCTCCAGTCTTTCTTCCTATTGTCTACAGGATCTAGGCAGCTCATGCACCTGTGGCCCTGATGTTCATATTTATGAAACAGAGTCCCTGGCAATATTGTGTATCGGAAGGGATACAGCAAACTAGTGGTTGCTTGTGGCAGTGGTGGTAGCAAAACAGTTGATTATTGGAAAGAGAACTGTTGGGATATACTTTTGATATGCTTGTTTCTGGATCCATTTAAGTAACATAAAAGTGAAGTGGGATGGGATTTACATTGTTCAGGAGGCAAGCCCTTGACAAAAATTATGCATAATCTTTACAGACAGCTTTTAGGAAAGAGTGCACACATGTAATTTTTAGTAGATCCAGTAATTTATAAGCTTGTTAACACTATATAGTAAAAGTTATTATAATAATGTTGTAATTTTGGTTAAATTAGAGACATTAATTAGTAAGGGATATTCACATATATTCTAGAAAATTCTATAAGCCATTTGAGCAGGAAAGCTGTCATTGAATATTTCCTTATTTTGATGGCATTAGTATATGTTGGGATGAAACTTTTATTTTCAAAATAAACCCTCATTAAGAAAAAAAAATCTATTCTCCAAACAAAAAACTTTAAAAGAACTTTCTTTTTTTGAATTAATATTAAAGGTATGCTAATCATCTTTCAGTTTGTATACAAATTCATGGCTTAAACCTTTAGTCACAGCACTTGTGAGGCAGAGGCAGAAGGATTTCTGTGAATTTGAGGTCAGGCTGATCTACAACAAGCAAATTCCAGGATATCCAGAGCTACATAGTGAGACCCTGTCTAGTATATATTAGATAGATTTCATATATAGAGATCTAATCTAATATATATAATATAATGCACACATACACACACACAGATATATATAATATTTTGGCTTATGCTTTTGGAAGTTTCAACCTATGGCCAAGTGGCCGTTGCTTTGGGGCCTGTGTAAGGCAGCATATCATATAGGGAATGTGGTAGAGAAAACTGTTCACTTCCTGGTGGTCAAGAGGCCAAAAGAGGGCCTGGAGAGATGGTTCAGTGGTTAAGTGTGGTTCTTAATTCAGTTCCCAGCACAGATGTCAGCTAGCCCACAATTGCCTGGAATTCTAGCTCCAGGGGAGCCCAGTGCTTCTGGCTTCCACAGCCACCTGCATGCTGATGCATACCCCCATCAAATATTCATAGTTAAAATAAACTCTTTTTAAAAATTATTTATTTATTCATTTATTTGTTTAATCAAGGAAGAGGAAGAATCTTGGGTCTCAATATCTCCTTTAGCAGCCAGCTGCTAATGCCCTAGCTTTCTCTTTTGAGGACCCAACTCCTTAAAGTCTCTTCACTTACCCAAACCACAGCAGAAGTACTCATGACATCCTGCAAAATGGGATCCCAAACAAGTCACTGTAAAAAGTAAATGTAGATTTTTGACCTCTTTGACATCTGTTCTTCAGACCTGGAAACAAGATAAAGAAAAGCCCATTAGAAACTTATGGTAGGATATTGCCAAAATAACCCTCAGACATTTGAACATGAAGCCCTCATTTCCTATTTGAGCAGGTGAGATAGGCTAAGAAGGGCTCATGTACTGTAGCCACTGAGTGGTAGAGCTGGGGTTCTGTTTCAAGCTGTACTCAAGTTTTGCATAGCTTATAGTTCAAAGGGCTCAGGAGCAGGGGAGTTGTCCTGAGGATGAATTGGAGTTAGGTCATAAGTACTAAGAGTAGTGGAGTTTGGCAACAGTCTTCGATGGTATCAGATGAAATGAGGCCTGTCAGGTGAAAAAGCACTGAGCTGGTCAAGGTTCTTGGAAGTCTGTATATGTATTTTGAATTCCCTTTTGGAACATCATGGGATAGATTCCATTTGCCCATTAGCCATAGTCAGAGGAAAACCAGCAGATGTTTGCCACTCACTTCTAGTTCCCTCACTACAAGGACATGAACCTGAGCAATCCAAGGAAGTGCTTTGAATACTCTCATGGCTGCAGCATCCTTTCTGAGCACACAAGACATTCTCCTTATCCCACACAATTTGAGAGTAGGCAAAAAGCAAACAAGGAGTGAGTTAGCCCCTCTCATCCATGGGGATGGGAGTGAATACAAGATAGCGTCCTTTCCACCTTCTGAGGGGTGATTGACTCAGAGACAGTGACGTCAGACATGACTTCATCCATCCAAGGGAAAGACCTTGTGCAGACTGAGAGCCAGGCAGGCTTCTGCCCTTCTCTCCCCATGGTCTTTTTCACCGAGGACATTGTTGTGTTCCCACTGTTGCCCTCACACTTTCTTCTTTTCCTTTCTTTCTTTTCTTTTTAAACATTCTCTCATTGCTTTTCACTTAGTCTTCCTCCCCTTCTGTTTACATCTCATGCTTAACCTGTTCTTTCTCCTTACCCATTCCTCCCTTTGTCTTTTTGTCCATTTGCTTTGGTCTTTATTTTGTCTCCTTCCTACTTAATCTCCTTTGCTCCTTTTCTCTCTATAGATCTTCTATTTTTACCTCCATTTTCTTTTTTCTCTGCTCTCTGTCCTCTTCCTATGTCAGAAATGCATGTGGGAACTGGTCCTCCTTCCTCTTGACTGTTCACTTCCGGGATCTCCACCAGGTGCTTGTCCTGATTGGCCTAAAGCTGTATGCACAACCATCCTTCCCTCAGGGAGGGATGGCGGCTCCCGTCCCTTTCTGAGTTCTTGCTGATTTTAGGAGAAGGCCTTCTGACTAATCCTCTCTCAGTTCCTTCTCCTTGTTTATGGGTTCAGGGTTTAATGAGCCCTTTTCATGGTTGCTCATGCCCCTGACATGGTCTGTACTCCCCTCCACCTCCCCTTCCTCACTTTTTACCTTCCCTTCGTATGAGATCCAACATTACCTTGTATGTGATCCCTTTCCTCTCCTACCTTATTACTCCTACTCATGACACTGTCTTTCCTTTATGGCCATACAGATTCTATGCTTCATAAACTAGGTATTTTATTTTAAAACGTGTGCTGTCATCTGGTGTATTTCATATGCAGAGTCTTTGTTCTTCCTAGCCGACGACAGACTTGGTCATCAGGGACTGGAGAAATAGCTTATTGGCTAAGAGCATTGGCTTCTCTTCCAGAGGACCCAGGTTCAATTTCCAGCACCTTTATGGCATCTCACAACCAATTTATCTCTAGCCCTAGGGGATCTTCCATTTCCTGGACTCTGCAGTCACTTCACATTTATGCTGCAGCACAGATGTACAAAATGCATACAATAAAAATAAAGGAAAAAATGTAAATGATTTAAAAAATGTAATCATCTCCAACTTCCTCTTTAGCTGTACCTCCCAGTTCCGGCATAGTCTCCAGAGCCGGATAGCAAGGGTGTACACTTAATTCTAATGCCACTTCATGGGTTCCTGGTTTTGACAACCTATGTAATTACTCTTCATTTCAATTTCATGTCCTGTAATATTACTGAATATCTTAACAGTGCATTTGTTGTAGGGCTGCTGAGGGACCACATAAGCAAGTATGTAAACTGCCTAGAGCAACAGTTAGTATACAGGGGGCACTTCTGAAATGATTAATTATTTTGAATGCTAGTTCCACCACATTTTCCCATCCTTGGAGTGTGGTTATCTTTAACTTGATTATGTTATTAATAGTTCTCCTGTTCTCTCAGTCACCTAATACATATGGGTCTCATGACCTTCATTTATAGCCGTGTTTAAGTCATGATATTGTAATCTGGGTTCATTCCATGAGGCTATACCTGTTTTTTGTGCTCATCCTGGCACACACTGAGTAATCATTCATCTCCTCCACAGCCCTTGCTAGTCTCACATTATGTGAGGAACCCCTCTCTCCCTTGCTAAACTCTTAGCTCATTTTTAGGAAGAGACTATAATTTATTAACCTGTATCTTTAGAGTTGTTATCATGTATTTACACCCCAAAAACATACTGGCAATGAAACAGATTCTGACAGCCTTGGCTGATGCCCAGCCATGTGCTAGGAATTCTGGGGAAAGATGTAAGCTAGGATTGTCTTACCTTGGACACAAAGTCCTTGTAGAATTTACTACTTTCTTCAAGGACCCTTGAAAAGCCATGCAAGATGTATTGCTGGAAGAGATATTTTCTGCGTGGTCGGGTAGCTGTAGCTCCATCATGGGTGGGGCTGGTGGAGTTATGACATTCTCATTGACCACTTTTGCTTGAGCAAGGAAGTAACTTATCAGTCATGGCCTTTGTGTATGCCGAGTGGGAAATGATGGTAGAGCACTCTAACTCTTGCATAAAGGAACGAGTAAGGCTGTATATGCCCCAAGTAAGCGCTCACAGAGTGCTTAAGAATGCCCACCCTTTAAGGGTTGAGGATGAGTAAAGTTCAAGTGGAAGGATCTTTGGGAAAGAAGGGTATGTGTTTGAGCTTGATGGGAATGATACCTGTTATCCTCAGATGTCCTAAGGCCCTCCAGTCTAACGCAGCTCTTTTCTCACAGCAGTCCCCCTCTATCAGTTGGTGCTTGGCAGCCATAAAGTGGTTCTGCACTGACCCCGGAACCCATGCCAGGAAGTGAATGAATCCATTTTCCAATTAAAATGAAACTTCTCCAAAAGACCTACTCACCCGGAGAAGAGAATTTATCTTCCTGGCAGTCAGGCTTGGCTAGAATATATTTCTGCTCCTGAAACAGACTGAGAAAAGCCATTAACTTGAATGGGGGGAAAAAACATCAGAAACTAGGACAGTACTTATTCATTCATGCATCCATTCATTCCTTATTTTCATTCCCACAAACTGTTATTTAGTTAGTGCATCTCTGTTCATTCATTCCCTTATTCTTTCATTCAGCTAGCATTACTCATCATCTATGCATCATATACAATTTTAGATCCTAGGCATAGATTGCAATAAAACCATAGTTCTGTCTTTAAGGAGATTCAGTGTAATGAAAAGGACAGACAGTGAATAGCTGATGGGAAAAGCAGGGATAGGGACATTCACCAGGTATTAAAGGTATGATAGTTAGCTTTAATTTTCAATTTGATTGTAAACAAGAATCACCTGGAGAGTTTTATTTGAGGATTGTCTAGGTGACAATGGCCTATGGACATGTCTGTGTGTGTGTGTCTTGATTGTTAATTGTGTTCTGAGCCCCACCCTGAATATGGGCGGTACCATTTCATGGGCTGGGCCCTGGACTATATGAGTGAAGAAAGCTAGCTGAGCAATAGCAGCAAGGAAGGACATGCTTGTTCTCTTTGCTCTCATTGTGAATGTGATATGATGAGCCTTGACTTCCCCAAAATGATAGACTATAACTTGGGATCATTAGCCAAATACACCATTTCTCCCTGTGTTACTTTTTGTTAGGATACTTTATCATAGCAACAGAAATGAAACTAGAGCAATAGGTACATGCAGTGTTAAACCATCTAGCTCAGCTTACATGCAGTTTCATGGAGTGTTCAACACAAGAGTGGAGTTCTCAATGATGAATGCATCTGAATACATCTGTTTATGCACATGCATATATGGTTGGTTTTGTTTCTCTAAAATGCTCCGACTTACACCCAGATGCAAAGAGAGAAACCTGTTCATGAATTTACTGAGATTTGGACAGAAAGGATAACTGGATATAAGAATTTACAGAGAAGCAGAAACAGAAAAAAAACTTCTTAGGCCAATGGACATAAAATCAAGGAGGAGGAAGCTATTTTGGGGAAGATAACAGGTTTTCTGTATTGAAATCTTGGGAGGTGAGTGCAATATCCAGGAGACACATCTGAGGAGAGTTTAAGTTGGAATTTGATTCAATTGGTTTTACTATGAAGTTTCCTGGAGTCAAAGAATTAATTGAGCTCTCCCAGTGAGCATGTTTACAATAAGTTAAGTGGCTGTGGCCTTTACCCTTTGGAGCATCCATATTTTAAGATCCACAAACAAAGAGGCTCTTAAAGGAGACAGGAAAACAGCGGGGAGAAGGACATGAGGATCCAGCATGAAATATTGAGTTGATCTCTCAGTTTCCTATATGGCCACACCTACTCTATTGTTGTCTACTCCAAGACATTATGTTTCCAAAGCCTCTTGACATTCAGGGCTCCCTTGCTCCTCCATAGTAAGGGCACTGATCCATACTTCTGTCCTCTAGGTGATAGGCATCTCTCCTGTCCTGGCACTTCTCCATTAAATAAATGAAAAACTTTTGGGGAAGTGGAAGGCTGAATTAGCACTGTTTGGGTGTTAAAGATGCAAAGTCTGATTTTTCACTCACTTGTCATGTGATTGTTGTCCCTGTCAGGCATTAGTTTCATAATCTGTGAAGTGAAAGTTGCAGTTCCTGCTTCCTTGCTTTATAGGATTGTACAGATTGTATAAAAGCATTAATATCAAGTCTTTGAAGACTATAAAGGTGTATAACAGCATTGAGAGACTCTTATTGACTTACATAATATGCATACTATCCATTGAGAGAGGTGATAGTACTATGGGATTTGAAGGAATAGTTTTAGAGAGATTAATCTTTCTAAAGGAGCACAGCTGGGAGGTTGTAAGGACAGCAGTCAAACTCAGGGTTGCCCGATGTCATATTTCTTAGATTCTGAACTGCAACCTTATTTCCAAATATACATAGTAGTGTCACATTCAAAGGCCAAGTAAGCATTGATGAATCTGTCAGTTGCCATGAGATGGTAATGCTCTTATGATTAAGAAGTTAACTGTAGTGTGAATTAGTAGTTTACCTTTCTGTACAACACCTCTAAGGTAGATGAGGGAGGAGAGAGTGCTTATAAATATAGCTTGTGAAAATACATAGCTTGTACAGTAGAATTATTTTCATTGACAGGACAAATCCTTTTCTAGTTGGGTTTATCTACTGAATTCAGGTCTTTGATGTTTGGATGTTTTCTTCAGCAGTAGCATAGATAAAGTCTATTTAATCTTTAGGTTCCAAATAAGGTCTCCTTCCTGTGGAGCATGTGTTAGCCAGCCCAGGCCCAAAGCCCCCTCTTCCTTCTGAACCCTGTCTCTGAATAGTCATTAGAGACAGATATATGACCACACAAAATGCTGTGATAAAGTTATGAGGCTGACTCACCAGGCTTTGGTATCAGACTCATTACATTATTGTCATACATCATATTTTTAATTACCTTTCCTTTGCTCATATCTTTCTCCAGCTCCAGTGTCTAGCTTTAAATTTGTTACATCTCCGGAAGCTTTTTGTCATGTTTTCCCCTATGAGTTACACTTGTCCTTTGCCCTCTGGAAGAAGTTTGTTGTTTTTAAGATGGATTTGGGAAGATGTGTGTAGAATCAGTATAATCAGTTACAGTGATGGAATAGAGACTCTCAGCAAAGGTCCATGTGAGCTGGGTTTGCATCAAGGATAGAAGATTGAGAAGAAGAACAAGTGGGGAGGTCAATCCATGCAGAGGCAAGAGCCCCAACAGAGGCATGGAACCAGAAGAGCAGAATGAGTTGAGGAACATAGGGGGAAAAAGACAGCAAGGGTAGAGTGAGGGTTACCAGAGAATCCTGGAAGATGATCCTAGAAGGAAATCCTAGGAATCTATGAGTGGGCTGGAGTCTGATAGAGCCCCAGGAGCTAGCCTCAGGACTGAGAGTGGCTAGACTCTAGGCCACAAGAAGCTGTTGAACGTTTTCAACAAAGGAATGAATTGTTAGAGCTTAGCTTTTAGAAAGATGCCTCTGGTGCCACAAATCCCAGTTTATTTGCCTGTCTGCCCTGAAGCATTGTTAGTGTTTGCTCCCTGTCTGCCGATGGGAGTCTGCAACACACAATAGTTTCTTTCATCCCAGGAAGGTATTGGTTGGACTTCTGCATGTTTTCAGCATCATTTTCTGTTAAGACTGACATTGAGGATTGGGCTTCCTGAAATATCTCACCTCTCTGGGCTGCCAGCCCATGTTCAAATTTCAAAACTTGAATATAGTGTCAGGGTTAAGTTTTGTTTTTTTCATGGGTAGTTCTAGAAAATATGATCAGTATGGAACTTGGAATGTGCAGGCAGGATCATTTATTGTATGTGAAGTTAGGGAGCTCTGGTCCCTCCCTTTCATATATACCACAGATAACCCAGATAGAATTTCTTCTAATTAATAATAAACTAAACCCAATTTTTTCATGTAGCCCCTGCATCCTGGTGCCCTTTCTATAGCTGTATTGTTCCCCATAATCTCCCTCAGCATTTAGAAGAAGCAGAAACCCTACACCTTCTAGAGACACCACAGTAGGACCAGGATGACTCTCCTTTGCTCAAGGCTTCAAGGCTATCCTGAGTCCTGGTCTTGAATCTTAGGCATAACTTTTCTGCCCCTCCCCTTTTCAGAGACCCAAAGCTATGTGAGTTTTGAGTAGTAGCCTCTTCCCAAGAAATGCTGTGGTTTTATGAAGTAATAAAAGAGAGGGGATGAGCTGTTTTCCTTGGTTGCTTTCAAACCAATGTATTGCTTAGCTCAAAAGACTGCTGCTGGAATGTAAAGCCTTGAGTGCCAATTCGTACACCCCAAATCACTGCTGAGTCTTTGTTTCTTGAAAAGACTAATTTTTGTCAGTTCCTTGGTATCTGGAGTACAGAATGACTTAACCTCTTCAGCATCTGAAGCTCCTACTTGATGAGACACAACTGAAGTTGACCTGGGTGGAGAGCTTGCACTCTGCTCTCTAACCTTTGCTCATGCATGGAGGTTTGGTTAAGTCCAAAGAAGTTAAGTAAGTCACCCAAGATTGACATGGGAATCTCTGAAATATTTTTGGAAGAGTTGAGAGCTGTTGTTGTTTTCCGCTCATGTGAAGAATGGCAGAAACTTCATCAAGACATTTCCAAAGGCCTCAATCCCATAGCTCTGCTAGGCGCCAAGATGGCTGTGGCCACACAATGCAAGGAATGAGCACTCACCTCAGAGCAGACACCTTGGGTGACTTAGGGACAAGCTCTTGGAGTCTAACCCTCAGTTCCTACATCTTTAGGTATGAATATTGTATATTGCCTTCTCCTTTTTGAATTACCTCAAGAATCAAGGGAGACAGAATATAGGGACAGTGTTGTACATTATGGAAGGAACAAGGCGGTCACTGTCCTGAGGTAGGTTCAGTGAACACAAGAAGATAATTAATTCAGCAAGTCATTGATTGGGACTTCACTGACTAGGAGGATGAAGGACAAAGAAATTTCCATGAAGAACTAGGTAAAAATCTATCTTCATGGACAAATATGACAATTGATGGCAAACACTTTTATATCCCATAGCTCAATGGGAGAATTTTATGGGAGCCTCTGAGCCAGCCAGTCTCTCTAACAATTGCCAGGCTTCCAGACACATCCCTGTCACTCAGACTCTTCCCCTTCCCTTTGTTGGCCCAGTCCACAGATTTTGCATTTGTAGAGAAAGCAGGGAATATTTGTTCATTTCTCTACCATGACCATGTGCATTCTTTCTAAATTTCTTTTATTTTTTGAGATTATAACATAATCACATAATTTCTTCCTTCCATTTCCTTCCTTCAAAACCTCTCATATATCCTTCCTTGCTTTCTTTCAAATTCATGGCTTATTTTTTTCATTAAGTGTTTCTACATACATATATTATATGTATATATGTATATGTATTCCTAAATACATAAACACAACATGATGAGTCTATATGATGTTGCTTGTAAAGATGCCTGATGCTTTCTAGCGTGTTGGTTCTGGTTCTTCATTCTATGCCGAGGATAACTGAGGTCTCTGGGTTTGATCCATAAAGCTGGTCTGACCTCAGGAGGAAATGCTCACTCCTACCCCAGGACATTGCCAAAAGCCTTGAAGCTCTCTAAGAGATGTTCTCTTGAATATCTTTGTCCACAGCCGCCATTGGTGTGGATCCAGGCAGAAGACTCATCATGTAGGGTCATTGGTAACCCTACATAAACCCTAACAGAAACAGTTGTTTTCTCAGCTCAGGATGATTGTTTGGCTTTGACTAGAAGTAGTGGTTGATCTGTAGTGGTTTGGCAGTTGGGCATGGTGACTGGCCTTGCATAGTTGGAACTAAGGAAGGCGACTGCCTTTTCCCTGACCACCAACTGTTGCAACCACAAAGCACATGGAAATAGGTTTTTGAGAATATCTAAGAGGCATACTGGTATGACTCACATAATTTCAAAGGCTGCTACTTTCTGGTTGTGACTTGTTAAGTGTCCAGGGTTATAAAAGTTCATAGCTGTGTTAGGCATATTTTGTAAACGGTAAGTTTTGTTTTATTTGATCTTAAGATGTATGAATAGGTAAAAAAAATTTAGGACCCACTTCTTCCTCAGCAGAGGCTTTCGCAAACATGGTAACAGAATGGTTGTAACACTGTGGCCTTTACATCTGACTTTTCAGTGCCCTTATTCTAATAGAACCATGTACTGGAGACAGTTCTTCCACATGGATTTTCAGTAAGTAGGAAAACACCAGAATCTGAGGATAAAAATACTTAAAAGCCAGATATGTGTCTGTAAAATTGATGTAATAACTTCCAGCACTTTTGTATTGCTCAGAGAAGTCACAGTCACAGAAGGGTACAGGAAGGAGAAACGAAGCAATCTATCTAGTAGTTCACTAGATTTTCATTGCACCACACAGGTACAATATGTTCATTTGAAGCCGGCATCACTCCCTTTAGATTCCCCAAATAACCCCGAGCCGATGATAAATTCTTTTTTAGTGTCTTGTAACAAAGAATAATTGAAAGAAGAAGACATAGTGAGTTGGGTGACAGGTAGTCTTTCTTGCTCTGTTTTCTGTCATCTTTACATTCTTCACCTCGAGACGCTTCATCGTTTCCAGTTCACCGCGTATCTAGTTTCATTTACAGGCAGAACTTGAATGGCTTCATTTCAGCTTTGATTTTAAAACCCTGGGAGAAGAAATGTGCTTAGCTTAGCTAAGTCACATGTCTATTGCTGGCTTAATCAAGTGCTTATCCTGAGAGGACTAGAGTTCTGGGGTATCTACTCAGCAGCTGAGAGTCCACTCAGTCTGCCAGAGGAGAGGTATCCTGGTGACCGAGGCCGATGAAACTATTGACTTCACAGAGGTTCCAGAGCAGGAGAAATGAAGCATGTTACCCTGATAATCATGTGTGTGGAGGTGTGGAAACTGTCATAACCTTAAGTAGGAAATCTTGGAAACTTACCCTGGAGATTAGTTGTAGGGTTACCCCAAAGGACAGGAGGACAGGAGTCCTGGGAAGGAGCAGAGTAGTAAGTGAGCAGTGAATTGTTCAGACAGAATTGGTAGGGCAAAGAAAAGCCCAGCAGCAAGAAAAAAAATCTGGCTATTTGGCAATATAGAATAAAATAAATGTCTAAAACTGTTCCAGCAGTTGCTTGATTTGACTGTGTGCTGGCTTAGGTTGCAACTTCTTTGAGTTGCCTTTAGTACTAGTTGGTATGTGGAGAATTTACATGGCAAGGCACATTTAGATTCCCTAAGTCTTTAGTACAGTTTCTCTCCAGTGCAGAGCTGTTGAACTTCTTACTCTTACATCCTCTTGCCTTTTCCAAGAAGCTGGCTTGTGTATCCACAGAGTATGCCTTCTCCCTGTCCAGGTTGCAAAAGGGGACAAAGGAGAGATTATGATCATTTTTGGAAGGATCAATAATTGCTATGTTTTCTTTCCTATATAAATACTACTTTTATACCACACTCCCACAAGCCCTTGAACAGATGTTTTCATGAACATTATTGGCTCTGTTTTTGTTTTGAAAAATTTGAAACATTTTTGAAAGAGGAGAGGAGTTGGGGGGAAAAATCTCATAATTGATTCTAATATATATTTAATTTGGCAGAACTTGAGAGAGACTTGCTGGGACAAGGCGGGACATTTCTTTGATCTCCCAGACTTCTTATCATGGAAAGCAACAGGTGTCACAGCACGGTATGTTAATTACATGTTGGATTTTATTTGTGTTCTTCCAATCCAGGGTGTCTGTATATATATTGCTTTCTTAACTCGCTTTGACTGGATGCACTGTTTTTACATCTGCATGTGATTTTGCATACTTGAAACATCTTGAATCTATCTTCTGCCTCCACTGCACATGCTCGTGTACCATTGTCCCCTATCTTGCTGGAAATTTGAGTATCCAAGGTGAATACCATTCATTAAAATTGGACACATTTGAAGGAGATGTTAAAATTCACAGGGTACTACAACTCTATCTGAAGGTGCCTTCTAAGTGGCAAATTAAAGAAAGAAAAAAATATACTGTAGAAATTAAGGTAGGAAGTACGTGCAAGGAGGTGGATGTTAACTGAATGCATGTATTATGAACTTACATCACTTTTTATGGAAATATACTAGTATTATCCCAAACTACAGCAGTACCTATGTTAAGTCAGTGGTTACATTTGAGTAACTTGCAAATTTTAAAAATGAACTCTGTACCACATAAGAGTACTTTTACAAAATACTCATTTACTATGATGTTGTGGCTAATGTAAGTGGGTAAGAAGAGAGAGCTAGGTGTGAAACCTCAACATGGCAAAGGGATGGTCATTTTGACCTCATCTTCAAAGTATAATTGGACTTTTTTTATTGGACTTTCTTTTGGGACCATCAGCATCCAAATAATGACATGGAGACTTATTAATTATGAAAGCCTGACCTTTAGCTTAGACTTGTTCCCAACTAGCTCTTATAACTTAAATTAACCTGTTTCTATTAATCTACATTCTGCTATGTGGCTTTTTACCCCTCCTCCATTCTGTGGGTCTGACTTACTCCACGTCTTGCTGGAGTCTCTTGCTCCTAGATTCAACCCTTCTGAGTCTGCCCAGAAGTCCGACGCCTAGCTATTGATGCCTCTCCTGCCTAGCTATTGGCCGTTCAGCTTTTTATTAAACCAATCACAACAATGCACAGTGTATGGATATCCCACAACATCAAGGGGATGTGTGGAAATGATGGGTCTTCTGAGCTGAGAAGGAATCAGGATCTAGACCATGCAACCTCTGAGGACAAGAAGCAGCTGGAAAGAACAGAGAAGGCTGTATAAGTTGAAACAGATGCTCCTGAATGGAGTAGGTAGGCAGACATCATAGCTCAAAGTCAGTACCTTCAGAGGGGCAGATCCTCCTCCTCTCCTTAATTAAGCTCAGGAAGAGCAGAGAGCAGCAGCAGCTTCTCTTCTGTGTGTTCTACTTGGTAGGATTGGTACCTTTCCTTGGGGTAAGCTGATAAAAGTGATAGTTAGGCACAGGGGCCCCCAGAAAGAGGTAACAAAGGATGCATTCCACAATTACTTCATTCTTCATGTCACCCTCCCTCTGTCACCCCAGGGAAAGAATCATTAGTTAGAGGTTCCTCAGAGTAGAGCTGGTCCATGTGCCTATGATGATGACCATGACAATCCTTAGTTCTCCACCCTGCTTAATAGAGAAGGCTGGAGATCTGCACTTTGCCCTAACCAGTACAACTAGTCACATTGAAGTCCACTGTGGAGAGCAGTGTGTGGGTGAAGTCCTCATCCTCAGTATTGCTTTTTTTTTTTTTTTTTTGGTTTGACATCATCTAAAGCTATTTCTGGGAGGGCCTTTCCTTAGTTGGTCTTTCTGCTTTTATGCAGTAATGAACAAAATGTTATATTATTTTAGCCAAATAGATCTATTAATCAAATCATTGCTACTAAGTTCTGTGTTAGCAGGGCTGAAAAATGAAAGCAAGATGGAGTAGCATCTGGGACCATGGCTTGCTACTGCCATAGCCACCTCCCTCTTTTTGTCCTCTTCCTTCTCCTCCCTCCTTCCCATCTCTCCTTCTCTCCCTCCCTTTTTCCTCCTCTCACCCTTACCCCCAGCTTTCTCCCTTTCAGTTCAGCTCAAGTTTTTGAGTTTCTCACTGGTTCTTCCCAGTGACTTTGGATGTGGAGCACACTCATTTCCTGCTAATTCTGACACCAGTGCATGGGCTTTCAGAGGCTAGCCCTGACTAAAATGAATTCCATATCATGGCATGCTTACATACACCATGGTCACACTGGGATGTGTGCTTCTTAGTAGTTGTGCGACCGTCAGCAGATCTCTTCTCTTTTTTGGATGTCACTATCTGTATTTTTAAGTTGGGATCATATTCCAGTGTGAGCTTATGAGAGTCCTATTAAAACTATTTTCCAAACGAGCTCTTTCATAACAAGCACCTGAATCATTCATTGCATTATTTGCATAGTAAGTGTGTTTGTGAACCTTTGTGTGGATGTCTAAATATGAAGTTGAGTGTTTTTCTTGACGGTTCTTTATTTTTATTTGTTGAGACAGAGTCTCTTGCTGGACTCAGATCCTGTCAAATTTTGGCTTGTTAGTTTTAAAATAATTGACTGTCTAGTTCTCTCTTTCTGGCAGAGTCTTTACATTAAGTTCCAGTGCACAGAAGTCCTAGTGGTCTTACCATGTTCCGTCTACAGTAGATAAGTTGTCTCTCCAGGCCTAATGTGCTCTGCTCATCTGTGAATCCTCTTGTAGTTGAGTGAGAATTAGATACTGTGGATAAATATGCAGTGGGTACTGTTAAATACCAAGGCACTTACAAACAGGAAGTCCCTACTGCCCGTCCCATCTCCTGGAACAAGGGAGATGAGGCCTGAAATGGAATGTGTCAATGCCAAAAGAACTCTGGGCAACAGAGCAGGAACTTGGCACCCTACAAGTCAAGGAGCTGTTCAGATTTGGTGTTCATTTGGCTCATTCATGTGCTTGTTTTGGGTGGCTTTGATGAAGTGAGAGCCAAAAAAGCTAGAAGGTGTTTTTCTTTTTTTTGTTATTGCAGGCTAACAAGGATTGAATTTCACCTGGTCTAAAGGTTACAAACTTGTTTTTGGCAATAACAGTGTAAGAAGGTCCTGCTTCCGTCTTCCTCCTTCTCCCCCTTGAAATAAAGTGGAATTTTGTTGTTTTCTTCCAAAATGCACTGAGAAAATCAATACTGGACCTGTGATTGATTTGTAATTCAGGTCTACCCTTTCTACTGTATTAATGAGAAGTTACTGCTACTTTAATAATAATGATGATGATGATGATGATGATGATGATGATGATAAATGATTATCGTTTGTCAAGGGCCTTTCTTTTATCTATGGTAAGCATATTGACAAATGTTAACTCCATTGGTACTCAACAGCCATCTGTTCGAGCAGGTGGTGTTAGTACTATTTTGCAATTTAAGAATTGAAATCGAATGTGTTACTAATTTGCCACATTCTTGCCACTGAGTGGGTAACTGTTCAGATCGTGAGAGATGGTTAGTCAGAAATGTGAATAATAAAATGGTTCATAATCAGGCAAAAACATATTCATATGCATTCATATATTTGTATGTATATATCCTCTAAAAAGATTTGGGGTACTTTTAGTAAATGAACTAAAAACAGGGATGCATGTATAGTCATCACTCACTGGGTCAATGCACAGCACAAAAGAAAACAAACAACAAAGAGAAACACCAAAACAGTGATTAAAACATTAAAAAAGTCAGAAAAAAGAGAAAATATTAATACAATGACTGAGTTGATGTTGAAAACTTTCTAGAAGAATATGTTTCTTTATAATTTTGATAGTTTTGTTTGTAAGCTTCCGGGAGGCCAGAATGAAAAGGGAGCATGGGCAGCCTGACAGAAGCGATGAATACATGTAGCTGTGTGGAGACCTGGAACTTTGTCTAACTTAGTGGATCTGAGAGAGAACTTCCCCACATTATTAAAGGTTCATGATAATCCATAAATTATTTATAAGTATGTTCTATTAATTCCATTATAATTTCAAATAAGCACTTAAAAATAGTTTTAGGTTTACAAGAACATTGTGAATATGCACAAAGAGTTCTCAGATGCCAGATGCCAAATTTCCTGTAACTAATATATTAGTATATGGTGTGTTTGTTATAATTAAGGAACCAATGTTGATATATTATCATTAACTATATTCTTTGGTCAAATTTCTTGATATAGTGGTGTGTGACACTGTTCTTGGGAGATATGAGTGAATAACTACTCCTCAGATAGGGACCCAACAGCAGACCAAAATACAGATTCCACCACCAAAGTCCACCTTGATGAACCAGTGAGCTTGTTGCTAGACACTTAGAGGAATGTGGGTGATGGATTACTTACAGGAGCACAAATCCCTCAAAGACAGCTGCATCACAAAACCCCAACCCAGATGGGTGTCAGCTCACCAAATCTGCCCAGTTTGCAGGCAGCTTGACAGGTTGGAGAGTG